CCAAACCCATAGGTTTCGGAAGGATTTCAAAATCGTGTGTCCAAAAAACATACAAAAACAAAAGGTTTCGCAACACGGATTTTCAACCAAAGCGTGCGCGCGCGCTTTTGCGTCGTCGTCGTCGTCGTCGCCGTCCTCCCTCCTCCCGCGTCGTCGTCGTCGTCGCCTACGTCGTCCTCTGTCTTTCCTCGTGTTCGTCGTTGTCGTCCTCTTTGGCGTCGTGGTCGTCTCCGTCGTCGTTGTCGCCGTGGTCGTCTTTCCTCCTCCTCCCTCGTCGTCGTCGTCGTCGTCCGTCGTCGTCGTCTCGTCGTCATCCCTCCTATTTTGTCGCCGTCGTCGTCGTCGTCGTTGTCATCGTCGTCTTCCCTCCTCCCTCGTCGTTGTCGTCGTCGGCGTCGCCGTCCTTCCACCTTCTTCGTTCGCGTCGTCGCCGTTCTCCCTCCTCGTCGTCTTCGTCGACGTCGGCGTCGGCGTCGCCGCCGTCGTCGTCGTCGTCGTCGGCGTCGTTGTCGTCGTCGTCGCCGTCGTCGGTGTCGTCATCGTCGTCGGCGTCGTCATCGTCGTCGTCGTTGTCATCGTCGTCGGCGTCGGCGTCGGCGTCGTCGTCGTCGTCTGTGTCGTCGTCGTCGTTGTCGGCGTCGTCGAGGTCGTTGGAGACGTCGTCGGTGTCGTCGTGGTCGTTGTCGGCGGCGTCGTCGTCGTCGTTGTCGCTGTCGTCGTCGGCGTCGCTGTCGTTGCCAAGTGCCTTTTGGTACCCACCGTCACCGTCTTAAGAGATTTTGCAAACCAAGTTGCGGGTGGGCGGGTGGGATGCTTGCGCGAGCAGTGGAGTTGGTCAAGCGCGGTGCAGGGTAGTCAATTGCACCGCATATATTCTCCTTTCTCAAAAGAGAATAGACTCTACCCCCCCCCGGCGTTATCCGCCCCCTTTCGGGTATGTAAATCATTTATGATTCTGACCACATGTCCATCCTAAATATGAATGTACATTATCCCCGGGGGGGCGGTATCGGCCCCCCTGAGGCTCCCTTGTAAGAAAAATATCCCAGCAAAGCAACCTAACAGCGATGTGTAGAAACATATCTGGAAGCATTCCCCTTAAGATTCAGATGAGAATCCAGTTGTAGAGTTATGCTGTTCTCTCAGTCGCAGTCGCATTCGCGATGACAGTCGCAGTGGCAACGGCAGTCGCAGTCACAGCCTCAGCCTCAGCCTGCCTCAGCATCAGCCTGCCTCAGCCTCAGCCTCAGCCTGCCTCAGCCTCAGCCTCAGCCTGCTTCAGCCTCAGCCTCAGTCTGCCTTCAGCCTCGGCCTCAGCCTCAGCCTGCCTCAGCCTCAGCCTGCCTCAGCCTCAGCCTCAGCCTGCCTCAGCCAGCCTGCCTCAGCCTCAGCCTCAGCCTGCCTCAGCCTCAGCCTGCTTCAGCCTCAGCCTCAGTCTGCCTTCAGCCTCGGCCTCAGCCTCAGCCTGCCTCAGCCTCAGCCTGCATCAGCCTCAGCCTCAGCCTCAGCCTGCCTCAGCATCAGCCTGCCTCAGCCTCAGCCTCAGCCTGCCTCAGCCTCAGCCTCAGCCAGCCTCAGCCTCAGTCTGCCTTCAGCCTCGGCCTCAGCCTCAGCCTGCCTCAGCCTCAGCCTGCATCAGCCTCAGCCTCAGCCTCAGCCTGCCTCAGCCTCAGCCTGCCTCAGCCTCAGCCTCAGCCTGCCTCAGCCTCAGCCTCAGCCTGCTTCAGCCTCAGCCTCAGTCTGCCTTCAGCCTCGGCCTCAGCCTCAGCCTGCCTCAGCCTGCAGCCTCAGCCTCAGCCTCAGCCTGCCTCAGCCAGCCTCAGCCTGCCTCAGCCTCAGCCTGCCTCAGCCTCAGCCTTCAGCCTCAGCCTCAGCCTCAGCCTCCTCAGCCTCAGCCTGCCTCAGCCTCAGCCTCAGCCTGCCTCAGCCTCAGCCTCAGCCTGCTTCAGCCTCAGCCTCAGTCTGCCTTCAGCCTCGGCCTCAGCCTCAGCCTGCCTCAGCCTCAGCCTGCCTCAGCCTCAGCCTCAGGCCTGCATCAGCATTCAAAATGTGGCCCGGGAATGGAGTTCTGGGAACTCGAAGAACACGAGGTGGCCTACAGTTGGCTCCGGGCATTCAAAATCATGCCCAGGAATGGAGTTCTGGGAACTCGAAGACCACGAAGTGGCCTACAGTTGGCTCCGGGCATTCAAAATCATGCCCAGGAATGGAATTATGGGATTTCGAAGACCACGAAGTGGCCTACAGTTGGCTCCGGGCATTCGAAATCATGCCCAGGAATAGAGTTCTGGGAACTCGAAGACCACGAAGTGCGTTACTGTTGGCTAAAAAAGGAGTCCCCGGATTCTCCTGGTTTCCCCGCGGCACCCGTCCGGCATCTGCCCAGACCCCCCTGGGGAGTCATGATGCTCTCTGTTGACCCTACTAGAAACCTTCAGTCTTCGCTGTTAGGTAACAATACGCGGGGACATTTGCTGCTCTAACATAAGACAGTTTCACGAATCCCTTGCAAAAAACGTGACGAAGTGCACACGCGCGCGTCGTCGCGCGCGCATACCGAAATCCTTCAAAAACCTTGGGTATCGGAAGGATTTCGCAATCGAGTTTCCAAAACACATACAAAAGCACTGGGTTTCGCAGCACTGATTTGCTAAAAAAGCTTACGCGCAAGCCCCTGCGAAATCTTAAGAAAACCACCGGTTTTTTCAATATTTTCAAAACATGCTACCAGACGGACTTCGCGCGCGTGCATGTCGAAATCTGTCGAACGCCCTTGCGCGTGTGCCGTCGCGAGAATCCTCTCCAAAAAAATGGGACGAAGTGCAGACGCGCGCGTCGTCGCGCGCGTATGCCAAAATCCTTCCAAACCCATAGGTTTCGGAAGGATTTCAAAATCGTGTGTCCAAAAAACATACAAAAGCACAAGGTTTCGCAACACGGATTTTCAACCAAAGCGTGCGCGCGCGCTATTGCGTCGTCGTCGTCGTCGTCGTCGTCGTCGCCGTCCTCCCTCCTCCCGCATCGTCGTCGTCGTCGCCTACGTCGTCCTCTGTCTTTCCTCGTGTTCGTCGTCGTCGTCCTCTTTGGCGTCGTGGTCGTTTCCGTTGTCGTTGTCGCCGTGGTCGTCCTCCCTCCTCCTCCCTCGTCGTCGTCGTCGTCGTCGTCGTCCGTCGTCGGCGTCTCGTCGTCGTCACTCCTATGTCGCCGCCGTCGTCGTCGTCGTTGTCATCGTCGTCTTCCCTCCTTCCTCGTGATTGTCGTCGTCGGCGTCGCCGTCCTTCCTCCTTCTTCGTCGTTCGCGTCGTCGCCGTTCTCCCTCCTCCCTCGTCGTTGTCGTTGTCGCCGTTGTCGTCCTCCCTCCTCCCACGTCCTCGCCTTCGTTGGCGACGTCGTCGTCCTCTTCGTCGTCGTCGTCGCCGTCGGCGTCGTCGTCGCCGTCGTCGTCGACGTCGTCCTCGCCGCCGTCGGCGTCGTCGTCGTTGTCGTCGTCGTCGTCGGCGTCGTTGACGTCGTCGTCGCCGTCGTCGGTGTCGTCGTCGTCGTCGGCGTCGTCATCGTCGTCGTCGTTGTCATCGCCGTCGGCGTCGGCGTCGTCGTTGTCGTCGGTGTCGTCGTCGTCGTTGTCAGCGTCGTCGAAGTCGTTGGAGACGTCGTCGGTGTCGTCGTAGTCGTCCTCCCTCCTCCCTCGTCGTTGTCGTCGTTGTCGTCGTTGCCGCCGTCGTCGTCCTCCCTCCTCCCTCGCCGTCGTCTTCGTTGGCGATGCCGTCGTCGTGTTCGTCATCGTCGTCGGCGTCGGCGGCGTCGTCGTCTTCGTCGTCGTCGACGTCGGCGTCGGCGTCCTCGCCGCCGTCGTCGTCGTCGGCGTCGGCGTCGGCGTCGTTGACGTCGTCGTCGTCGGTGTCGTCGTCGTCGTCGTCGTCGTCGGCGTCGGCGTCGTCATCGTCGTCGTCGTTGTCGTCGTCGTCGGCGTCGGCGTCGTCGTCGTCGGTGTCGTCGTCGTCGTTGTCGTCGTCGTCGAAGTCGTTGGAGACGTCGTCGGTGTCGTCGTAGTCGTTGTCGGCGGCGTCGTCGTCGTCGTTGTCGCTGTCGTCGTCGGCGTCGCTGTCGTTGCCAAGTGCCATTTGGTACCCACCGTCACGGTCTTAAGAGATTTTGCAAACCAAGTTGCGGGTGGGTGGGTGGGATGATTGCGCGAGCAGTGGAGTTGACAATTTCAAGTTCGACAAGTGAATTGCACAATATCGATTGCACAACGTATAGTTTACTAGGCACGCATTGTTTGGGGGTCCACTCTGGTCAAAAGTTTGTGTTGTTGTGTTGTGTGTTATCTCTCGTTCTCTCTCTTTCATTTTGTTGCGTTTTTGGTATCTCTCTCTCTCTCTCTTGTCTCTCTCTCTCGCTCGTGGTGTGTGTTTTCTTGCCGTTTGGCCGAGCAGCCTGTTGGGTCGCCGTCGGGAGTTTTCTGGAGCCAGAGCGAGCCCAGTCTGAGAGATCCGCGCGGTGACGTCGGGGATGTGGAAGCGGGGTGGTCGCGTCTCGTCTGGCATCTTTCCCTCTCCCCTCTCTGACGTAAGCATCGCGCCAGGTCAGAATGTGTGTCTTTTTCGGGGGAGATGGTAGAGGGGGTTGAACGTGATAGCGCCAGGGAGAGGTTGTGTATGGGAGAGGATAGGAGGGGACGGCTGGGGTAACTCAGGCAGTGCAGATCTTGAGCGAAACTGTCCTCCAGAACCACCCTTCGATGATCAATCCCTCAATGTGGGCTTGATCGATGCATTTTCTCCCTATGGGGCCTCCCCCAAGAAGGCACCGAATTGAGGGCCTGCGGTTCGATTTCTTCAAGGCTCACAGTACAACAGGCCTGCCTTTCGGCGCTCAGGGTCACTCGCAACCTGCCTTTAGTCGCGCTTTCTTCAGGTTTCGACTCGGGGACGTCCCGTTTCGACACGTTGCGCCGCCCATCACGAGACGAGCTATAGGGGAGGCGGCGCGCGGACCAGGCTGCACCCGCCCTGTCGGAGGAGATGGCCCTCGAGTCGGTGCGCGTCGCACTGGCCAAGCTCAACAGCTCCGAAGGCGCGGCCGCTCTGCTCCCGTGAACTCCCTGTCCGAGCAGGAGTAGACGGGAGGGAGGAAGGGAGGAGGGATGGGGCGCTGGAGACGGACGGGGGGAAGAGAAGGCGGGTGCAGCTTTACATAGCATCCTTCTGGCATACCCTCGACATGAACTCCGCTATTTCACAACCATCCTGTGGTGCTGGGTCCTCGCTTTGACGAGACAGCGCCGCGCATCCACTCACCTCCCGCTGCCCCCTCCTCCCTCCTCCATCATCATCTACATGAACGTGATCATTCTCGTCACCATCGTAATCATCATCGTCGTCGCCATCATCATCGTAATCATCACCATCGTTACCATCATCGTCATCATCATCACCGTCATCATCACCATCATCGCCACCCATTTCGGCACACCCCTCAGACGTTTCGTGGCCCCTGGAGGAGCTCCACCGAAGGCGCCCGTGGCGCAGTTCGCATGCGTCCCGGTCACCCATTTCGGCACTTTCCTCATACGTTTCGTGGCCCCATGGGGAGCTCCACCTAAGATCCCAGTGGCTCCACTGAAGGCGCCAGTGGCGCGGCCCGCATGCGTCCCGAGGCCTGAGGAGCGGCCCGCGCGAACCTCGCCTTCGGTCGACTGCTCCATTGTTTGGCGTCGCGCCGCGAACGACCCGCGCGCGTCGCTCCAGCACGCCCGGGTGGCGCATAAATGGGCAAGCAATGGCGGCGGAGGATGTGGAAGAGGAGTAGGACGATCATCATGAGGACGAGGAGGACGAGTGGCAGGATGGGGAGGACGAGGAGCAGGAGGAGCAGGAGGAGCAGGAGGACGAGGAAGAGGCAGGACAACGATGAGGACGACGACGGCCTGGGGGACCGCGGACCGAGAGTTGCGACGATCAGCATTTTGCTCCTATGCTGGAGCTTTCACAGCATCAGGCCGCTCGTCAGGAACGCTTGGCAAGAAAATAGCTGCGGTCGCACAGTGTATGTTGCTACTTGCATGCTGGTGCTCCATTGCTCCCCTCCTCCCTCCTCCTTCCCCTCCTCCCTCCTCCTCCTCCATCTCATCCTCCCTCCTCCTCCCTCCTCCTCGCTCCTCGCTTTTCCCTCCTCCTCCTCCTCCTCCTCCTCCTCCTCCTCCTCCTCATTATCCTCTCTCCTCCTCCCCCTCCTGCGCCTCCCTCCTCCTCCCCTTGCCCATCTCCTCCGCGCGTGCCCGCTCGCCCCGTTGAGGGGGATGAATATGTGGAGCAAAGAGGTATGAGCAACAAAGAAAAGAAAGCATGTATATGCTGAGGAAGAGAAGCGATGGAGTGACAGACGTAGCGACGCAGCTAGCAACATTTCCCGTATTTGCTCACTTGCCGCTGGGCTTCTGGGTGCGGGTGGAGAAGTGCGCGGGCGCGCCCTTCGTGGACGACCTGCAGCGCCACGACGATAGCCTCAGGGGGCACCCCGCGGGCCCGCTGGTGTTCATCGAGCCCCGCACGTCGGAACCGTTCACCATCCGCACTTCAGGGTCGCCGCTCGCTTCCAGGATCGCCCGAACAGGCTTCCCGCTCTCGCGCGGCAGCGCCATCACCCCGGCGGCGCACACCATGCGAGAAGGTGACCGGGCGAGGGAACGGCGCGCGAACGGGCAGTTTGCTGCCGCGCCGCTTGGGCGCGAGCAGTCCGCAGCCAGACCGTGGTCACGCGGACTCGCCCAGGGCCGTCGGCTGTCCGCCGCGCCGCCCCCTCGGCCGACATCGCCCATGCGCGATGCTGGACTGCGGCCGCCACGAGGTTGAGAACGGCGAGAAGGAGATGACGACTGACGGCTGGAGCTCTACGCGCTGCTCTCGCGCGCCACGCGCCACGAGGACCCCCCCTCCTGCTCGCGCAGGCGCCGCGCGTCGAGTTCTTCCCGGCAGGGCCGCCAGGGAGCTCGCGCAAGCAGTTGGGGCAGTGCGCGACGCGCGCGAAGCGTTGCGGGAGGGGGGCGACGGCCCACGCCAAGGAGCTGGGCTTCACCGAGTTTATCCGCGAGGCCTGGTTGTTTCGCGCCGTCGATGGCCCGAGCGCGTCGCTGGAAACCTCTCGGGGCGACCAGCGCGCGTCGCGGGGGCCCCGTCGGCGCTCCGCCTGCAAGAGCTGCCCGACTCCCCTGCGCGCCCTACCGAGCGTTTTGTATTTCTCTAGCTCGCAATTTCTCGCGTCGCTCAGAGCCGCGGGCGACTCGCGCGCGTCGCCGGGGCCCCCCCGGGGCGACCGGCGCGCGTCGCGGGGGGCCCGCGCCGCGCCCCGCTCAGAGCCGCCGCCATCAGGGCGCTCGGGCGAAGGGCAGAGACAGACGCGAGCGGGAAATAACATCGAAACCGACGGCCGCGCGCGGGGCCCAGGCCACCGCGGGCCAGGCGGGCGGGGATGCAGCGCGCAAAGGGGGGAGAGGAGAATGGGCCGGCAAGAAAATAGAGAAAGCGGCCGCGCAGGGGGCACGGGCAGCCGCGGGCCAGGCGGGTAGGGCGGCAGCGCGCAGCGGAAACGGGGGGGGGGGGGCGGAGAGAAAACTGAAACAAAAGAGCCGCGAGCGGGGCTCGAGCTAAACCCGGGGGATTCCCCGTTCGCCCGCGCCAGCTTTCATCCCCGCGCGCGCGCCGCAGTCATTTTGCCGGGCCCCCTCCTTCGTCTCATCTCCCCCGCGGCACTCGCGGCCGCGCGCGGTCGGGCCCTTCGTCGGGCCGGTTGGCCGCCGCCGCCGCCGCCGTCGCGAGGAGGGGGGGGCGGCGGAGGCGGAGGAAAGGTCGGCGGCGGCGGCGGAGGCGGAGAAGGAGGGGGCGCCGGTCCAGAGGCGTTCAATTTTCCTTTCGCTTCGCGGGGCGCGCGCCCAGATTTGCGGGGGGGCGGGCGTTCGGGGCGCTTCGCAAGATGTTCGTTGTTTTTAAATGGGCGTCGACATCGCGAGACATGGCTGACTTCCGGGGGCGCGCCAGGCCGTCTTCGGGCGCGGCGGGGTCGCGCGGGCCCTTGGGGCGCCGCCTCGGGCGCCGCCCCCGCGCCCAGCTGCGCGGGGGGGCGAACGACCTCAGAGAAAGAGGTGCGCTGGACCTCGCCGCGCGCGTCGAGCTAGCGGCAGCGTCTTAACGCTCGGTCGGCCGATCGCCAGTGCGAGCTCGGAGGGGGAAGAGTATCAATGTCGCGCCGCTGCCAGCGCGCCGTCGTCGATCTGCGTCGTCTCGGGGGAGAAGCGAGGGGGCGCCGCGCCGACGGCGCCCTCGGGCATCCCCGCGGCAGCGCGACGTCGACCCCCCCCCCCCCCCGACGCGTCGCGCGCGCGCGGAGGGCCACCTTGCGGAGTTCTCTGATGAAGCTGTCTGCGCGATGCGCGAGGGCGTTTTCGGGCGCCCCGGCGAGGCCCCGTGGCTTTGCGGAAGGCTGGTGGAGTGCCTTGCGGGGCCGCGTCGGTCCGTTTGGGGCCTTCTTCGTTGGTTTCGGGCCCGTTTGACCCTTCCGGAGGCTGTTTTGATTTCTCGCGGCCGGTTTTGGGGTCCTCCTGGGCCGTCTTGGGGGCCTCCCAGGCCGTGTCGGGGGCCGTCTTTGGTCCGTCCGGGGCACTCTCGGGCCTCTTCTTGGGCTTCTCTGGCCTTCTCGGGGCATTTGTAGCGGCTGCTTTGTCCGTCGAGGGTGGTCGAGGCAGGCGAGAACGCCAAACTCTTTACAACAAGAGCCATGGGAGATTATTCCGACGGTAGAACCCCACGCGAGAATATGTTTAGCTCTCCTGGAGATATCCTCATGCCCCCTTCTCGTATTTCCCCCTTGCCCCCCTCTTCTCCTCCTGCCTGCTGCTCCCGCGCCTCAACCCCTGCCTCTTCCTTCTCCTCCTGTCTCCTCTTCTTCTTCTTCCTCCTCCTCCTTTTCTTTATGCCCCCTCCTCCTCTTGGCGCTTCCTCTCCCCCCATTCCCCTCGTTGTTCCTGCCTCCTCCTTATTCCTCCTCCTCCGGCGCCCGCCCCCCTTTTCCTCCTCCCCCCCCCCCCCTCCCCCCCTCAGCCCCCTCCCCCCCCCCCCCCCCCTCCCCCCGCTTTCTTTATTCTCTGCGACTTCCCCCGCGCGGTCTCGCCGCAGCGTTTCGGCCCAGCAGCCGCCCCCCCCCCCCCGCGCCCAGCCCGCGGCCCGCTGACGCGGTGCGCCGCGGAGCTGTCGGCGGAGGCGGGCGGCGCCGCGCTGCGCCGCGGTCTGCGCGCCGCGCTCTTCGAGCGGTTCGCTGGTCATCCATTGCCTTCGACGGGCCGCGGGGCCCCAGCCTGCGGGCCCCCCCGGCCTTCTCAGGCGGCGGGCCTCGAGCAGCGGCGGAGCGCCCTGCCCCCGAGGGTTCCGCCCCCTGCCCCGCCGTCTGCCTCGGGCTGGCGGTGGACCTGGGCGGGGGGGTCTCTCTCCTGCTGCTCGCGACGGTCCTCTCGCTCTTGGGAGAGACCGATTGTTGCAGCTTCTGTGGAGGCTGCTGTCCCGCGGGCCTGGCGGCCCGCTGCGCGGGCCCGTGCCTGGCTCGCGTTCGTCGCGCGCTGGGCGCGTCTACCCCGGCGCCCGCGGGCAGCTCCTCGGGCCTTGGTCTGCTTCCCTGGCCCCTAAGCCGCCACGCGCGGCTCCGCGCCGTCGGGCCCTCGGCCCGAGTCGCCGCTTCGGGGCTAGCCCCCCTCGGGTCGGCCTTCGGGCCGCCCGCGCGGGCTCTTCCGCCGCGCGCGCGCTGCCGGCTCCGCCGCGGACTCGACGCGTCGCACGGCGGGCGCGCCCGCCCCGGAACGCCGGAGACGATGGCTGCCGCGCCAGCGCTGCCAGAGGGCCCCGCGAGGCCCGAGCCGCGCCCCTTCGAGGCGCCACCTCCGACAAGCTACGCCAGGCGGCGGCTCGACAAGGGGGGCCGCAGTTTCGCCGCCACACCGCTGGCGCAGTGAAACTGCGGCGCGCTGCTTGCCCTTCCCTCGCCCTTCCGCTCGGCTGCCGAACTGGCGCCCGCGGAGGCGGAGGGTTTCT